AGATCCCAGAGTTCTCAGTGGCACCCCCCCCCCCCACCCCCACCAAGAGAAGAACTGAGATATCTCTCTGGGACTTCAGTTGCTGTCTGTGGGTGCCTGGCCAGCCCCCCTTTCACGCTGCCCTTCCTACCAGTCTCTATGCGTCTCCACCTTCGGTCCTTGGGTATCAGGGTTCTCTCCGGTGAGTTTTCTGTTGATTATTCAGGAATCCTTTCCGTATTTCAGTTGTAATTCCAGGTTGTTCCTGGGAGCATGTCTGTGCAGCATCCTCCTACTCTGCTGCCCTGTATAAATCTTGCTTCTTTGCTTTGCTTTTCTGTAAACTTCACTCCAGTTAGAAACCTTGCTCACCCTCCACCATCTTTTCTCTTAATTGTTCATGTCTGTATCTTGTTGATTATTCAGGAATCCTTTCCGTATTTCAGTTGTAATTCCAGGTTGTTCCTGGGAGCATGTCTGTGCAGCATCCTCCTACTCTGCTGCCCTGTATAAATCTTGCTTCTTTGCTTTGCTTTTCTGTAAACTTCACTCCAGTTAGAAACCTTGCTCACCCTCCACCATCTTTTCTCTTAATTGTTCATGTCTGTATCTGTGTAACAGTGTCAGAGTGGCCAGCCCACACCTGGGAGAGTACAGGACTCATGTATATTTGTTTGGTCTTTTTCCTACAGACTCCACTCATCTCCAAAGTTAAATAGTCAACACTCTCCCCTACACCTTCACTCCTGGGTTTCATGCATTTGTAGTGCACTTAGATTTTGGGGGCCATATTCTGCATTCATTGGGTATCCCTTGACCTGCTAAATGATATTTTAAAAATTTGCAAACATTAAAGTTCATGCTGAAAACTTTTGTGGGATTTGACGAATGCGTGGCATTGTATACCACAATGACAGTGTCATACCGGATCGTTTCACCACTCAGATGTCCCCAGGTTTGACTAATCACCGCTTCTTCCTGGCAGCCACTGACCTTCCTGCCCTTGCTGTACCTTCCCTCTTCCTTTTTCCAGAATAATTGGAGTCACACAGAGTGCAGCCTTCCTCAGGAGGGCTTCTTTCACTTCGCAGTTGCAGTTAAGATTCCTCAATGTTTTTTCACGACTTGAGAGCTCACTTCTTTTTATCACGGAATACTACTCCATTCACCTATTGAAGGACATCTTGCTTCCAGTTTGGGGCAATTACAAATTAAAACTTCTGTAAACAGCCCTGGCCGGTGCGGCTCAGTGGATAGAGCATCGGCCTGTGGACTGAGGAGTCCTGGGTTCGATTCCAGTCAAGGGCATGTACCTTGGTTGCAGGCACATTCCCAGTAGGAGGTGTGCAGGAGGCAGCTGAGCGATGTTTCTCTCTCATCGATGTTTCTAACTCTATATAGCCTCTCCCTTCCTTTGTGTAAAAAATCAATGAAATATATTAAAAAACACACACAAAACTTCCGTAAACATTTGTGTGCAGGTTTTATGTGGACAGAAGTTTTCATATCATTGGGGCGAATACCCAGGTGGTATGAAAAGACTGTTTAGCTTAGCAAGAAGTTGACAAACTGTATATTAGCGTGCCTGTGCCATTTGCAATCCCGTCAGCAATGAGTGAGTTCCTGATGCTCACATCCTCTAAGCAGCGGTTCTCAACCTGTGGGTCGCGACCCCTTTGGCGGTCGAACGACCCTTTCACAGGGGTCGCCTAAGACCATCCTGCATATCAGATATTTACATTACGATTCATAACAGTAGCAACATTACAGTTATGAAGTAGCAACGAAAATAATTTTATGGTTGGGTCACAACATGAGGAACTGTATTTAAAGGGCCAGAAGGTTGAGAACCACTGCTCTATAGCAATTGACATTGTCAGTTTTGGATTTGTTTTTTGGCCACTCTAATGGGTATCTACTAGTATCTTGTTTCAGTGTGCAATTCCCTAGTGAAAAATGATGTCCAGCAGCTTTTCATATGCTTTTTTGTTATCTCTTTGTCTTCTGTCTAAAGTTTATGTTCAGATCTTTTGCCTAAAATTTTAAATCCTCACTTAAGGATATGTTTCTTGAATTGAGAGAGAGAAGGGAGAGAGAGAGAAACATCCAAGGGAGCCTCCTGTCCATGCCCCGAGTGAGGATGGAACCCACAACGTAGGCATTGCCCTGACCAAAAATTGAACCTACAACCTTTTGGTGTATGGATGACGCTCCAACCAACTGAGCCACCCTTTCTGGGCTCTTTTGCTTATTTTTAATTGGATTGTTTGTTTTCTTATTATTGAATTTCAATAATTTTTTTGATACTAGTCCTTTATCAGATATGTGTTTGCAAATAGTTTTGCTCAGTTGGTGGCTGGTCTTGATTCTCTTAAGTGTCTTTTGCAGAACAATAGTTTTTGGTGTTGTCTCTAAAAAGTCATCACCAAACCCAAGGTCATCTAGATTTTCTCCTATATTTTCTTCCATGAGTTTTCTGGTTTTGTATTAGGTCTGTGATCCATTATGAACTAATATTTTTGGTGGAAGGTTTAGGTATGTGTCTTAATTTTGCCTGTTGGTTTGTTTTGCTTATGGATGTCCAGTTGTTCTAAAACCATTTGTTGAAGACTTATCCTTCTCCATTGAATTATCTTTGCTCCTTTGTCAAAGATCAGTTGATTGGATTTGTGTGGGTCTGTGTCTGACTCCTGTTCTGTTCCATTGACCTGTCAATGCTACACTGTCTTGATTGCTGTAGCTTTCTAGTAAATCTTGAAATTGTGTCATGTGAGTTTTTCGACTTTGTTCTTCTTCAGTATTGTGTTGGATCTTCTGGGTAATTACCTTTTTATATAAACCTTAGAATTAATTGTCAACATCTATAAAATAGCTGCTGGGATTTTTATTGGGATCACATTGAATCTATAGATCAATCAAGATGGGATGAATTGACATCTTAACATTATTGAATCTCCCATAAATATGGAATATCTATTTAGATCTTTGATTTTTAAAAATCAGAGTTTTGTAATTTTCTGCATGTAGATACTACTCATCTTTTGTTAGATTTCTACCTAATAAAAATGCCATTTGCATCCAGCTGGCGTGGCTCAGTGGTTGAGCATTAACCTATGAACCATGAGGTCAGGGTACATGCCTGGGTTGCAGGCTCAGGAGCAACCGATCGATGATTCTCTCTCATCATTGATGTTTCTGTCTCTCTCTCCCTCTCCCTTCCTCTCTGAAATGAATTAAAAAAAATAATACCATTTGCTGTTGTCAGTGGTATTTCCATTTTTGTTTCTAATTCCAGTTGCTCATTGCTGAAATATAGGAAAGCAGCTGTCATATTAATGTTGTGTACTGCAGTCTTGTTATACTTGCTTATTAGTTCCATAAGTTTTTTGTTGTTGTTGGTTCTTTGGGATTTTCCCAAAAAAAGACAAGCATGTCATCTGTGAACAAAGACAGTTTTATTTCCTCCTTCCCTATCTGTACACCTTTTGTTTCCTCCTCTTGTCTTATTTCACACGGTGTCGAAAATGCCACAAAAGCATTTAGCTTCTCATCAGTAAATATGATCTTTGTAGATATTCTTTGTCAAGTTAAAGAAGTTCTTGATTTTGTGGAGAGTTTTTAAAAAAATATGCAGAGATGTTGGATTTTGTCAAATGCTTTTTCTGCATGAATTGATGTGGTTATATGATTTTTCTTCTTTATCCTGTTGAAGTGGTGTATTACATTGATTGATTTTCAGATATTGAACCAGCCTTGCATACCTGGAGTAAGTTCCATTGCTCCTGGTGTATAATTCATTTTGTATGTTGTTGGATTCACATTGCTAATATTTTGTTGAGGATTTTTACATGGTAGATATTGGTTTGTAGTTTTCCTTTATATGGTTTTGGTATTAGGATAATGCTGGTCTTATTGAATGAAGTAGGAAATGTTCCCTCTGCTTTTCTTTTTTTTTTTTTTCAAAAAAAAGATTGTGGAGATTATATTCATGAGTCCTTAACATTGAGTAGAATTCACCAGTGAAACCATCTAGACCTGGTGTTTTCTTTTTTGGCAGGTTATTATTCATTGACTCCATTTCTTTAATATAGACTTATTCAAATGATTTATTTCTCCTTGTGTGAATTTTGGCAATTCCATTTCATGTAAGTTATCAAATTTGTTGGCATGAAGTTGTTCATAGTATTTCCTTATTTTCCTGAGACCGCACAGTGGACAGAGCTGGGGACTCTGCATGTGCACATGTACACACATGTGTTTCCTAGTACATGTTTATGACAGACACGTTCATGGACACGTTGTCCACATTTCTTTTTGTGCAAATCTACTATATGAAAGTGAGCGAGCCTCCCGCTGTGCCCAGTGTGTCCCGCTGCTGCCCAACACCCCAGTCTTCTTCCCACCTTCGCTTCTCCCTGCTCTCCCGCTGAGAACCCGACTCGCTGCATATCTGGCCCGTCCTGCTGCGGCTGCGCAGCTCCCGCCGAGCAGGTGCCGTCCTGGCGCTGTCCCACCTCCCGCTGCCCACACGCCCCTGCCTGCAGCGCCCTCCATCTGTCCATTCCGTGGCTTTAGGGAAAGAGAGAAGAAGGGGTGCGTGGGTTTTTATAACAGTTATTCCGTAGGCTGCTCAGTTTCTGCCTCCTTCCTGGTTTGCTCCTGAATTACAGATTATTAAGGGCTTTTGAAAGCTGTGTGCGGGGTCAGGGGCTTCGACTTTTATTTATTTATTTATTTATTTATTTATTCCTCACCCGAGGACATCTTTTTAAATTGATTTTAGAGAGAGCAAAGGGGAGAGCGAGAAAGAAGGAAGGAAGCATCGACATGAGAAACTTCGATCGGTTGTCTTGGGTAATCGCCCCGATCCATCAGGGCTTGAACCTGCCTCCCGGGCATGTGCAGTGAGCAGGAGTGGAGCCTGCCACCTTTCAGGCAGGGACGCTGCTGCACCCGGGCAAGCGGCTTCTCAATGCAGAGCCTGAGCAGGGGGGGCTGCGGGGCGGTCAGTCCCCGCTCAGAGGGCGCCCTTTTCTTCCTTCGCAGGTCGCCTGGTGGGAGCCCTGGATGCGGTGCTGGACTCCAGCGCACGGGTGGCTCCGTTCCGGATCCTGCTCCAGGTGCCCGGGTCCCAGGTCTACTCTCCGATCGCGTGCGGTGAGTGACCGGGTGGGTCCAATGTTGACGGGGCTGTGGCCGCGGGTGAGGTTTGTTCCGTGCGGAGCCTTCAGATCCTAAGGCCTGAGCCGGGGAGGAGCTGCAGGTGGTGCGGCTGGAAGGCAGCCCCTGAGCCCACCTCTTCTCTGAACTCTGTTCTGGTTCTTTAAGCATCAAACGCACATGGAGGCGGTAAGCTGGACAGCTGGCTGGACCCGCTCAGCTCTCCCGTGCCTTGCTGCTCCGGGCTGCTGTGCTGGCGACTGGGAATTGAGCCATTTGCTTCTTAATCTGTGTCTAACATAAACCTGCTCTGGGCGCCTGCACCTGCTGTGGTGGAACATCCGGGTCTGTGTCTGAGGGGGCGCGGCCTGCCCCCGGCTCCACCGTGCACTGAGTCGCTGGCTGCAGGCTGGTCTCACTTCCCATCCTGCCCACGAGGGCCCGCCCGTGCCCGCCTCCCGTGCCAGCGCCTGGGGCGGGGCATCCTCACGTCTGAGAGGCCCCTTCTTCTAAAAACCAAAACCAAGAGGTGTCTTTTTAATTACACAGGCAATAATACGTGTTCACCGTCCAGAATTAAAGCAGGTAGGAGAGAAGGAAAACCAAATCCTTTCCGGCCCTTTCTCCGTTGCGAGTCCTGTCCGCATTCTGCACGCGCGCAGCCTGGCTCTGCTCTTTCTCTGCTGGAGACCGTGGGCTTCAGCAGCACTCGCAGTCCTCAGCCGCCTTGGATACTTTCACTCAGAATAAATACAGAAAAGAGCAAGGAGAAGACTGTCATCCGTGTCTGCCATCCGGCACGAACCTGTTAACGCCTCGGGGTGTCATTTTTTCCAGTCTACTTTGTTTTGTTTTTTACTTTTATTTTTTATGTGTTTTTATTAATTTCAGAGAGAGCAAGGGAGAGTGAGAGAGGGATGGAAACATCAATGATGAGAATCATTGATCAGCTGCCCACTGGGGATGTGCCCCATCTGGGAATCAAACTGTGACTTCCTGGTGATGGGTCAACCACTGAGCCACACTGGCCAGGCCATTTTGTTTTTAAATTAGGATAAGCCCATCTGTATTTGCATAAAATGATAAAAATGGTGCATGTTTAATGTAAAGATGTCGATTAACAGTGAAAGGTACAGAGAAGACAGGATCGCTGCCTCCCCCCCCCTTTCCCCGGGGCACCTGGCACACTGGTCCCGGGCTGCGGGGAGAGGCCTCTGAAGCCAGCTTGCCCGGAGCTGTTCCTCATAAAAGCCTCACGTCTGCACTTGATTTCAATAAGAGAAGAGAAACTGCAAAGAAATGTTAACTTCCAATAAATGTTCCTTTAACACAGGAGCTTATTTTCTAAAAGGTTCACTTAAGGTTAGGGGAGAGATTTTCGAAAGCTTTACAAGGTTAGACTTGTGGCTTTTTGAAACAGGGCTTCCATTTTGACTTGAGGCCCATTCTGAGGCTTTCTTCTCCTTCCTTTCTCATTGTGAAAGTTTCCTTCTTAATTTCACACTGTGAGTCCTGTTCTCTTCTCACCACCCTGCTTTCCACCAGTGTTTGGATCACTCCCCTATTTAAATTAATTTAATGCTTCTACTCAGGTGTGCTTTATTTTAAATTTTTGTCTTTTATTTAAAAATATATTTTTATTGATTTCAGAGAGGAGGGAGAGGGAGAGAGAGATAGAAACATCCATGATGAGAGAGAATCATGGATTGGCTGCCTCCCTCACGCCCCCACTGGGGATCGAGCCCACCATCCGGGCCTGTGCCCTGACCGGGAATCAAACTGCCACCTTTCTGTCCAGGGCAACGCTGCACACGGCCAGGGCGACAGTGGACTCTCAGTGGCACACGGCATTCACCCTGTAGCTGTGCCAGTTTACTCATCCGATCCTTTCTTAGCGACTTGTTTCTGATGTTTAAAGTATTTTAAAACCTGACACAAACGTCCAGACACTTAACTCTTCCAGGGCACTCGCGACCCCCCGTGCCTGCTCCACACCAGACGTGTGCTTGCTGTCAGCACTTTCAGTTGGTGTGAGGGGCCCTCGGCCATGGGAAGGCAGACAGCAACCTGGAGTGGGCAGGTACAGGGGGGACAGGAACCAGGACAGCGAGGCAGGCAGGGCCGTGAGCACCGGAAGGGAAGTGCTGCATCAGGGATGTGTGATTAGAATGACCTCTGTCTCTGTCTCTCTGTCTCTGTCTCTGTCTCTCTGTCTCTCTGTTTCTCTTTCTCTGTCTCTCTGTCACTCTCTGTCTCTCTCTGTCTCTCTCTGTGTCTTTCTCTGTCTCTCTCTGTCTCTCTATCTCTCTCTCTGTCTCTCTCTGTCTCTCTGTCTCTCTGTCTCTGTCTCTCTCTCTCTGTCTCTGTCTCCGTCTCTCTCTCTGTCTCTCTCTGTGTGTCTTTCTCTGTCTCTCTCTGTCTCTCTCTCTGTCTCTCTCTGTCTCTCTCTGTCTCTCTCTCTCTGTCTCTCTCTGTCTCTCTCTGTCTCTCTCTGTCTCTCTCTCTCTCTCTCTCTCTCTCTCTCTCTGTCTCTCTCTGTCTCTCTCTCTGTCTCCCTCTCTCCCTCTATCTCTCTGTCTCTCTCTGTCTCTCTCTCTGTCTCCCTCTCTCTCTGTATCTCTCTGTCTCTCTCTGTCTCTGTCTTTCTGTCTCTCTCTGTCTCTGTCTCTCTCTCTGTCTCTCTCTCTCTCTGTCTCTCTCTCTCTCTCTCTCTCTCTCTCTCTCTCTCTCTCTCTCTCTCTCTCTCTCTCTCTCTCTCTCTCTCTCTCTCTCTCTCTCTCTCTCTCTCTCTCTCTCTCTCTCTCTCTCTCTCTCTCTCTCTCTCTCTCTCTCTCTCTCTCTCTCTCTCTCTCTCTCTCTCTCTCTCTCTCTCTCTCTCTCTGTCTCTCTCTCTCTGTCTTTCTCTGTCTCTCTCTGTCTCTCTCTCTCTCTCTCAATTACCTGCCTGGGACTGCAGTGACTTCACTGCCCCGCCCCAGCGGTGTCATCCCTGGACCCGACTCAGGCAGGTGCTTCGCTGCCTCCTGCATCTCGAGCACAGCAGCCCCCGAGCAAGCGGTTCTTGTCTGGTCGGTCAGCCTTCCTGCCTGGAAGAGGGCGGGCGGGCGGTGCGGGTGTGTGCCGGGCTTGTGGTATGGATTTAGGTACTTAGACCTCTTCTGGGAGTTATTTGGGCATCTTAACGCGGTGCTATTGACTCACCATATTTAATATTTTATGTCTTGAGCACCGAGAAAGGATCCCTGCCCAGGGTTTCACGTCTCAGATAAAGCAAATCCAGAAGGGCCGGCAGGGCCTGGGCGGCGCCGGGACAGGCGGGGCAGGAAGACGGCGCAGGGGTGACGGATGTCTGCAGCGGGTTGGCTGCTTGCATGGCAGTGGGGGCACAGGGCCTTAGAACTGCTTTCTGGGGTGAACAGTGGCATTTGGCAGCAGCGACCTGTGGATGACTGAGGTTGGACATAGAGGAGAGAGAAGTTGCTATTGTCATTATTTTCTAACTTATGTGGCCCAGACTCCCAGGCTTGGTCCCTGCTGGCTGCAGGAGTGGTGGGCATTGAGAGGTGGGCGGGGACGTGCCCTGTGTCTGCTCAGGCGACTGCCCGACACCCCGCAGCCGCTTCCTCTGTTCTCCCTCCGTCCCCCCCACTTCTGACCACTGTCATTTCCTTTATTCTTTGCTTCCCCCCAATACAAGATCTCTCAGAGCCGTGTTTGCACTGACCCTCTCATGCCGAGGACAGAGCCTGACATCCAGTGAGAGCAGAGGGCGGGCGAGGGTGGCGTGTGGGGAGGTCAGCGCACAGGCAGGACTCTTCCTGCCTGGGGTCAGCAAGGGGACCTGTCCCAGGCCGGGGGCGGGGACAGGCAGAGCTTTGGGCTGAGCCACCAGGACCAGGGAGCAGTAGAAAAACTTCACCGTTTCTAGGAATATATCCTAAGAAACCTGAAACACCAATCAGAAGACTGTATGCACCCCTATGTTCATAGCAGCACAATTTACAATAGCTAAGATCTGGAAACAGCCCAAGTGCCCCCAAAAAACAGGCATCTTTGTTTTTTAAGCTGGGATTTTTATATCTTGTTGACAAAATGAAATTTTCATGCTTATGAAATGTCCCTCTGTCTCTCAAGTAATAACTTTTTGCCTTGATTCTTCTCTCTCTGGTGTTGATATGGTTAAGCCAGTGTCTTTGGTTAATGTTTGCAAAGTATAATTTTCCATATTCCTCCTTTATTTTTGTGTTGTTTTTTTAAAGAGTAATTTAATTATGTTTTTATTGATTTTGGAGAAAGAGGAAGGGAGAGGAATAGAGAGATAGAAGCACCCATTAGCTAATTCCTACATGTCCCCTACTGGGGATTAAGTGCGCAACCCGGGCATTTGCCCTGACCAGGATGGAACCGAACCAGTGACCTCTTGGTTCATAGGTGGACGCTCAACCATTTAGGCCACCAGCTGGCTAATAGGTGCGTTAAACTTTAGATGTTTTCTTCCAAGAAACACATGGTGGGTTTTGGTTTTTTTTATCCAGCCTGATAATCTTTTTCTTTTTCAAGTTTTTGGGTTGTTTTTATTTTTTTCTTTAAAGTCCATTGATTGTTGCAAAAGCCCAGGGCATTTAAGGAGAAAACAAATGTTCAACTGAGATCTGAGAACCCAGAGCAGTGAGCTGGCCACTGGACGTTCTGGGGAGGGTGGGGGAGC